TGCGAAGCACAAATGAGGAAGGGTGATAGGTTTCTTTAAAATCAGCACACCGTTAAGAGGTGGAGGTATATTATGCCGTACATAACTTCCATGGCATGATTATCATGTTTGGGCGTTTCATTCACGTTCGTCATTTATTAACGTCACCTGATGACCAACTTTGGTATAGCTAGCGTAACGGCCGTGAGCGTGCTATGAGCGTAGCATGAAGCCATGTTTTACATGAAATCCATATTATGATGATCATATTTGGACGTGTCATTTACCTTCGTCGTCTATTCACTTCCCGTGACACCAAATTTGGTACGTGTGGCGCGACGGCGGCGAGTGTGTCATGAAGGGCCCAATATACTTCGACGCAACGTTGACGCACGCGCAGGTTGGGCGCAGCGACGCCACGCTAGCAAAATGCGAGCACTATCTAGTGTGACGCCAGGCGCGACCGGCGCGACCAGCGTCTGTCAGCGCGGCCCGTTGGCAACCAGCGTGAAATGCGACATGCTACATTTTACGCCGACGACGTTACTTAGACAGCGTCTGCCTCTCTTCGTGACGGAGGGACGTCGTGTGCGCTCAAACGCGCATGCGTCAATAGAGAGTTTTAGTACTGCGGAAAAGTGCTACGTACGCATCACGCAAGCGCCTCGCGTTACGTGGAGTCGTTTGCCACTAATCGCCTTTTAGTACGCCGTAGTACCCGCGTACGTAACGAGCATGAAGCGTGTTGCGCCATCTGGTATATCAGAATAGAAGCACGTGTTGTTGACAGCCAAGGTGAGCCAATGCAAGTGTTATAGCAAGATTATGGCCATATTTTAAGCCACAGAGACGGTCGGTGCTTGCCTTCGATGTCACCATTTTGCAAAACGAAGTCTCGCGCTGTCGCGAACTTGTTCGAGAGCGTCGCGATCACCTCATACGTACGCACGCACGCATCTCATGCGTGCGTACGTAGCGGCTGCGTACGTAATGCGATACATGTGCGTTGCGGTCTGCGCATGCGCACTACGCAGAATGTGGCGTCCTTACGTACGCAACGCCGCCACGTACGCAGCGTACGCAGTATTAAAACTCTCTAATGCAACGCAGCGTGGCGCGTACCTGCAAGCATACGGCATACAGATCCACAATGAAGGTCAGTGGGCAGATCCACCTATCTCTACTAGGGGGATATCGGCACCTGGCCTGGCATCGCCGGCGTGACGCGATAAAACGAACGCCAGCGCGTACGCGCGCCGGCTCACGTCGAAGTGCATAGGCGCCTTGAGTGTGGCGTGTGTTAATGTTCTTACATGACACCCTTCTCATGATTATCATGTTTCCACCAGTCACATGCCTTCGTCATTCATTCACGTGACGTAATTCCAAATTTTGGCATATGTGAAGGTAGCGAAACAGCCGCGAGTGCATCATGAGTGTGAGACGTAGTCATGTTGTTACATGACATGCATCTCATGATTATCATGTTTGCACCAGTCACATACCTTCGTCACCCATTTACGTACCGTAACACGAAATTCGGTATATGTGACGCTAGCGAAACGGCCGTGAGCGCATAATGAGTGTGGCACGTACTCATGTTGTTACATGACACGCATGTCATGATTTCCATGTTTGCGTCTGTCTATTGTGATGGCCATGCGACTATGCGATACCATGCCAGTTTTGCAACATGCATGCATGTGAACGAAACCACCGCATGAGCTGCAGAACCTTGAAATGTAAATCATGACATTAATGACATACATGTCATGATTTTCATGTTATGACTAGTCAAATATGTTCTCCATGCAGTCATGTTGTGCCACGCCAAGTGTCGTATTGATACAGTTATCGAAAGGGCCAGGAGAGCTAAAAGTCTTAGATAGATAGATAGATAGATAGATAGATAGATAGATAGATAGATAGATAGATAGATAGATAGATAGATAGATAGATAGATAGATAGATAGATACGCTCAACATCACCGAAGTTCGCTAAGAAATGCTTCGCATTAAAAAATCATGGTGGAGTGGGAACCTTACAGTAGGCATTCCCGAATAGTGTGAAACGGGCAAGGTGTCGAGCACAAGTTCGTTTTCTTGCGTCATCGTGAGCATCATGGGCATGACCTGAAAGCGAAGACAGGCCAGCAATAGACGAGCTGATGGACACGGGGCTTGGGTACGCTATCACGTACCACTTTTGAAACAGGAGCTCAAGTGTACTCTAAGTATAGTTTGTGTGTGTGTGCGTGTGTTGTTTTAACGCAATAGGCACCGTTCAGTCTAGTTTTCCAGTATGACTACAGTGCCAGAATACATAGCCTAGCGAATAAAAAAAAAGAACTTTGAGACGGCGTTGACGAAGATGGAACGTTACGCGCGCGCCCCGCGCCCTGCATTGGATTGGATTGGATTGTGGCCGGGATACACGGGGGATGGGCGCACGCGTCTATTTCCTGCGTGCACCAAATGGCGAATGTCGTAGACTTTGAGACGGGGCAGTGTGAGTGACGCAGCTACCTCTGGTCAGTACGCGGTGGCTAAGGCGTTAAAGAGCTCGTTTAGCAGGAATTCTGGCGTTGGTGTCAGCGTGGGCATCGTTGGCTGATAGCGAAAAAGAACCTTGTTTGGAACCGAGATGTTGAGAAAAATGCAAATAAAGTAATAAAATGTTTCGGGTTTGATAGAGGATTTAACTCAGGCCGTTTGCGTGGTAAGCTGTTGTTCTAACACACAGCTACGCGACTCCTTTAAAACAGTGTGAAATTGACTCCATCTTCTCAGAAATGCAGCAAAAAGAACAACCATATCCGTTACAAACACACGTATCCTGTATACGGGTGTCATAAAACAAGTTGTAATATTGCATTAATATTGTGTGGTACAAGCATACATTACTATCGAGAATCAAAACATGGGATTAACATAACGACTTCGTGGTTTACAGCCGGCAACCCTTCAAAAAAGGTGCAGGCATTAGGGCGCCCTATTCCCTGGCGACCACGTAGTGGTCCCTGGCGTCCCTGTGTCCCTAGCGTCCATTGCAAGTTCGAAATCACCTCTCGCGTATAATTGCTCGAGCTTCAAACCATGCTATCTGTTACACTGAATGCAGCCATTTGCGAAAGTTTCTCTGACAAAAGCCACTTTAATCTTTATCGAGTCTATTGCATTAAGCCACAATTTAAACTTCTCGAGTAGCCTCATGCAATAAAGAATAACAACATATCCACGCAGTGCATGATGATGTGTGGCGAAGCGTTCGTCAGTCTGTCCGTTTGTTCTTGCTTCCGTCCGTCCATTCGACCATCCAACTGTGCGTCCGTCAGTGCGTCCATTCATGCGTTCACCCGTGTGTCCATCCGTCTGTCCGCGCGACTCTCCCTGCGTCCTTCCAAGCATCCATCCAAGCATCTGTCCGTGCGTGCACCCGTGCGTCCGTCCGTTCATCTACTAAACACTCCAAGCACCGCTATCTCGCATATTTTCATCATATATTGGTCATATAGAAGTAACGCAATCCAGTAGACATTACAAGGACTGAACCAGAGTTGGCTACCTCCTCATCCTCCTACTACTACTGCATACATCGTGGACACACAACTTATGGCTTAAGGAGCTTCACCCCTAAAAAGTGTGCATCAACTGCTTGAAGTACGCACTATGGAGAGGATTTTGCTATCGCGTTCAGATTTCAAAGGTCACGCTTAAGGATGCGCTATTTTTTTCATCTTCCTACTTGAGTGGACGATTTGTATGACTTCAATGATTAAATAAAATTTCTGTTGGTTATCTTCTGTCAAAAATTATTTTCTCTGCTCTGATTTTAACGAATTTCAATATCTGTGAAAAGGAGAAGCAGGCCATATACAAAAACCCTAACATCTGCTTACGCAACGTATAAAAAAACGCCTTGTTTAATCCTTATTCTATCTGTTGCATTTCGCGAGTAGTATTTTATTACAAAAAAGCAAGACTAGCACATTAAGTGACCTATCTTCATAGTAAGCCAATCAAAATATAAAGAAAGATGAAAACGAAAAATAGCAGTCAACAGATCTGTATTGTTCGTTAGCTATTGTGTGATAGCAAGTACGCTTGCTGTAAGGAGGACAGCTTTCCCTGATTGCAAAACAAAATTAGGGGATTCTAAAACTTCACATTTAAGAGTTGAACGCAACAGCGATATCATGTTCTTAGTGCGTACTTAAAAAAATTGCTATGTACCCATTACATGGCCTTAAGGGAATAGCCGCCGTACGTGTGTGCCTTTTGTAATGGGTTGTCAGCTTTAAACCACGAAAGCATTAGAATAACGACATGTTTTGAAGCCAACGGACTTGGTGTTTGTGCGCTCTTTCCTTTCCTCAGTGCTGGATAGCACACCGGTCATTGTAGAGTGGTTAACATTTCCGCATTTCCTTTACCTCCTGTTTGTGTTCTTCTTTCAATGGCAATGGGCGCTTGTCCATGTATTACTACTGCAAAATTTTGTGTTGTATTGTGAAGCATGTATGCAAGACGTGTGTATTTGTAAAGCAAGAAAGTTACTTTCACTGCATCTCTAAGCAGAGGAAGTTATTTTAACTGTATTCACAAGTATATACGTGGTTGCGTCGTCAAATATTTGTTTGCCACGCAAACGACCTGGGTGCGATCACCAGTCGGAACAGAACGACCCGGCTTAGATCCCCAATCTGACCCAGGATTTTATTCACATTGTTCTCGATTTTTCACTCACGCATAAGATGGTAATTTCTCGCTGAAAACTGACGATGCCCACGACTAATTTATACGAAACAAGCTGTTTAACGCTTTCGCGTCGAAACAATCGTTGAAAGTCTTCGTACCACTTCAAACACACCGCACGAACCACAGGCTTCCTGGTGGATCTTAGTTGCACTGCACGTGGACTACATTCTGTGATCGAAAACGCTTAAAAAAAAAACAAGATTGCCCGTAAAAACCACACTGCAATCGTCTTTTCAATCGTGTGGCGGGGTCGCGCAACGCAGGTCCCAGTCTGAGGCGCAGGTCTGGAGCCGTGATTACGTCCAGAGATGCACGAGAGGCATGACCCGGGGCTTTGCCGACGACTTTCTGGACGACATTAAGAAGGAGATCATGGAACGCTGCTTCAAGTCGGGCTCGTACCGTGACGGTGAGTGAACACCACCTTGAGAGGTGCGCTTTGCAAGTATACGGTGAACAAATAAATTGTACTGCGGCAGCAATGGATAGTGGGGGTGTGCCTTACGAAGAAGAAAACCTTTTCTACGGTGCTATCCTATGTGTTACTGCTCACTGCTCTGTCCTACCATCTGACGATTTCGTTACCTAGAACGTGTCTTCAGAAGGTTACTTTTTTACTTAATTAAATAAATAAATATTACTTGTTAGTTAATATTTTAAATGATGTCAACGAGCTAGCCCACTCCAAGGCACGATGCTTCACTTACCGCGCTGGGTCTTGTGCTTCTCAGACAGAGGAATCAGCCTCAACCTTCATTTTGGGGACATTTTGAATACCTTCAACGAGATCACAAAGCACTATAAATTAGGAGGTAGGTCCTTTCCATTGCCACACGAAAAGTTGTATAGGCCACAGGCAATCTTTCTTGGCATGCTTCAGACGGTAACATACCCAGCCTCGTAACCTATAGCCATTACTCCGACATTTCAGAACGTTGTCCAGACTGCCACAATCGCAGTGATTTTAGACACACCTACTACACACAACGAGATTACCAAGTATTACTACATGGAGAGGCGGGCATTCCCAATGCCACATTCAAAACTCAATATAGCAGAGGCCGTCTCGTTGCGCTTACTTCAAACCCATTCGTACCCGTCGTTAGCATACCTAAATGCAATTTATCCTCACAAATTCCCCCGATGCCACCTGCGCCGCTTACGGGCAGACCGCTACGTTAGCACACATGCTCTGGGAGTGCTGGTCGCTTGGACCGACTTATAGCAAACCCGAGTGGGATGCGCTTCTGCACAGCCCAGAACTTCATGACCAAATCCTGGCCGTCCAGTGTGCCCGCGACAGGGCCATCAGGCTAGACCTGCCGGCCCCCGCGTGGGAGTAGCCGGGTGACGCGTGGCAAACTCAGCGTCTGCACTAGACAATAATAAAGTTGTTCTCACTCACTTTAACCACATGCTCTGGAGGTGCCCCTCTTTACAAAAAAATTGAGAATTTTCTGAAAATTTCTTTTATGTATAGCTCACGACTGTTGTTTTCATACAAAAACTCAAGGCTGTCAAGAAGGCACACGATGCGGCGGTGAGGCTAGGCCTCCCCTTCCCAAGATGGAGCAACCCGCGACCCCTATAAAACGGGGGTGGAATCCTTCAGGACCCCAATAAAAGTTTTTCATCCATACATCATCCATTCGTAATCAATATAGCTTCCGGAGCCTCTTAAGCAATCGTCTGGGACAACTTTAAGGCGAAAGTAATCTTGTTTTGCTTCTGAGTCGATTCAGTGATCACCTACACCATCTTGTGAAAGTTTTGTGCGCCTAACCTCGTTTCCTGCTGCCTCCAAGATGGGATGAATTGGAGGCCTTCTGGCCTCACACTGTTTTTCGTGGCCTCCGTGATAGGTATACGTTTCACCAAGCGACCACTTAATGTGTCGACGTCATCAAGTGATGTCACGTTATGACATACTGACGTCACAAATTTTCGTAACATGACACGTCGTGATGATGTCATCACACGATGGCGGTATTTCGCATTACTCGTGTGAAGGCTGCTGACGTGAACCGCCGACTTTCGTATTTGGGGAAGTATCGAAGGCTTTCGCCTTATTAAACGACTCACTGTATTCGTTGTGCGCTTGCTTGCAACGACTCAAAGGCGAGCACGATCTTTTCTTTTTTAGCGCGATAGCATCACGCAGCTCTTTCCTTAGAAGTTTAGCTATCAGCGTAGTGTCAGCGGCGGCGTCCATGTCGTTGGTTGCTAGTGAAAAGTGGGTGTTGTCCGTGACCGAAAAATCTAGAAAGGCTTACGTGAATAAGAAGCAGTGAATCACGCGGAGAAGGGTGTTTCGGATACACTAACGCGTAACGCAAAGAAGTGTTTCGAAGGCACACAGAGCGCGCAGGCATATCTAATCATCATCAGCAAAAGCATCAACAACGTGAGCAGCTGTGTGGGCTCTCAGGCTGCCTTGCGTATGACTGTGCTCGCTTGTTCTCAAAAGGTAGAATTATGGCGTAATGAACTCTTCGCAGCTTTACATGCAAAATGCATTACAGGATAGCTTGAAACTGCTAATGTTACGCGCACAGGCATTCGTTTTCATGCGGATGATTCGGAAATGCACGTGAACCAAAGCTGGGCTTATATTGAAGTCAATGCGCAGAGGGATGGATTATGCTATCGCGTTTTACTCATCAAGACTAAGCTCAAGCACCCTCCGAGTTTTAAGTGAGAAGCCTTTTAGGAACTATGACTGTGGCATACCATCGTAGCTTGGCTTAACGCAGGCAAAACCATAAATAGCATGGTCACCTGCAACATATTGAGCACGTTCTCAAGCCAAAAAGGAGTCTTTTAGGTGCTTGCTCCTAATGCTCCAGCCTTGTTCATCCATCCCGCCATCGTAACCACGCTTCCTCTGGAGCAAATGACTGGCTCAGAATGGATGCGTGCATCTCTCTTCTTGCATGAGAGGACACGCAGTGCAAGACAGAGAGAGAGAGAGAGAGAGAGAGAGAGAGAAGCTTTTCAATTCAATCATAGATAAATGTTGGGTGGGGCTCTCAGTTCAGAGCTCCAACAGCCGCTGCTACGTCTCGCGCCCGCCGCACCAGCGCCCTCTGGCCACTCGGGCTTTCATCACGCAGCATGGCCTCCCAGTCTTGTAGGGTAGGAATAGGAGTGGAGTGGGCAGAGCGCCTGGCAGGCGCACGCTCACATTCCAGCGTTATGGGAAATAACGTTAGTACCGCTCCACAGCCCGGGCATTTGTCAGGGTAAGAAGTGGGATGGAGGATGTGGAGGAAATAGAGGTGTGGAAATTTGTTCGCTGCAGTTGACGCACCGCAGTTGCATCTTCTCGTGTGAGCGTGTGGTGTGGTGGAGGGTACCGAATGCCTTCTCGTCTATACTAATTGAGCGTCTCGATATCCTAGAAGTTCCGTGTTTGTGTCCTCATCTGGGTTGGACAGCTCTTCCTCGGGATCCCGGTTAGTGAGTGCTCGGGTAGCTGCATGAGCGCAGGCATGACCGGGGAGAGAGGCGTTCCCAGGGGTCCAGACACGTCTGAACTTGTGTGGCGTGTGGAATGCGGTGTTCAAAATTCGGTGTGTGTGCTGTGAGACAATGCCCCGTGTGAAGGCACGGCAGGTATCCGTTGAATGCGTAAGCCTTAGAATAACATTTGTGTGAGGAAAGCTTATGGCAGCGTGGAAAATCGCCAGAGCGACGGCACACTCTTAGCCTTCAGATATGTTCTTTGTAGGTACGCTGATTGAGGCTACTACGTCATGATCATTGGTCACCACTGCTTCAACTGTAAAACTGCGGCAGTGGTGTCTAGCGGCGTCGTGGTATAAGAGAGTGTTTGGAGGAGACTGATTGATGAGGCACATGAGGTTTTTTACCCTTGCCCGCCGTCACTGAGCGTTGCGCTCAATGTGCATATTGCGTTGAAGTGGCGCGACTTTAATTCTTGCTCGAAAGTCAGTGGGTAGCTGTTTCCCTGATGTGCTGTATCCACATCGATTCGGAGGGTACTCTAGCCTGACGAGTAGCCGCTCTCCCACTTGGGTGCTGCGGAGTCTTCGCAGCTGACTATTAAGTTGTGCTTAGGTTAGTTCCCTCAGGTTGTTGTTTACACACATGGCTAGGAGACGGTTGGTGAATGCCTACGTAGGTAGTCCAAGCGCCGCCTTGACGGCTCTGCGGAGGAGAATGTCCAGTCTTCTCTCTTGCGCAGGCGTTAGGGTTTCATAAGGGACGTGGTAGGTGATGCGACTTACTATGCAGGCATTAATTGTACGTAGAATGTCTTGCTCCTGAAGTGCATGCCTTCGCTAGGTGATGCGGTGGATCATATGCGTGATTTGGGAAACTTGCTGTTGTAATATTTTCATGGTGTGCGTTGCCTTGAGATCAGCTTGCATGTGAAGGGCAAGGACGCGGAGTTTCTGTACGCTGTGCAAGCGACGCAACGCTCTCAGAACGCGAACTCCGACGGGACGGGCGTCCGTTGGCGCGCCCATTGTTGGCGCCATAGAGTTTCGTACAATAATTGTATGGAACTCTATGGTTGGCACCATTCAGAGGCTCGGGGCGCTTGCGACTTCCGGTCGAATCCTCTGATTATCGCGGAATACGGGGAGTGAAGACGCCGCAAAAAGAAATAATAATAATAATAATAATAATAATAATAATAATAATAATAATAATAATAATAATAATAATAATAATAATAATAATAATAATAATAATAATAATAATAATAATAATAATAATAATAATAATAATAATAATAATAATAAAAATAATAATAATGTTGTTTTGTTGTTGTTGGAGTTTAATGTCTTAAACCTTGCCTGCCCCTGATAGGGCAAGGAGGTTTGAAAAAAAAATGGATAGGACACGTCTTTGTATGACGGTGAAGCGGATGCATGTACGGGGGATTCACGGTTTACCAAATTCAACCTCTAGACGAGCCTTCTTCAGCATCACTTGCTTCGTAGATGCGGCTCAACTTGTTTCCTCTGTTTCTTTGAGTGCCTCGATGAGGATATGTGCGAGACACCTTAGGGACCGGGCTGCTTCATACTGTCATGGCTTGACGTAACGTAGGTGAGACCACATATAATAAAGATAGAGGCAAAACGGAAGCAAACATGAAATATAAAGGGAACAATAAAGGAAGGAAAGAATTGGAAAGGCAACAAAAAGAGAAAGAAAAATAAAGACAGAGATAAGAAGAGGGGACGAAATCAATAGAAATAAAGTGAGAGCAAAACAACAGCAAAATTTCCAAAAGGTAAGAAAAAGAGGGAAGAAAGAAAAAGCAAAAAAAAACAAATAAAGTTGAACGGTTCCGCAGTACATCCTCGAGGGACATCATAAAATAAAAAGCAGCTCTGAGTGGTTGAAGTGAGCACTAGGCAGAGGATGTTGCTG